GTTATCATTTACGGAGCGTTTCAGAATTTCTTAATCAGTACGACACAAATATCGACAAAATAGGTGTTAAAAGTACCAGAAAGCCGAGAACGAAGCGCACCAGCTATCAGCCTCAAGAGGCAGAAGGAGTCAGTCGGCGCCCTGGCAAAGAACCAATGTCAGAGCCAGAATCGCCGACATTGGATGTTAGGGACGAGGACGTGCTGTTTGTCGAAAGAAGTGTTGAGGGCAGTGGCGGAGCCAGGATTTTCAACTTGGGGGGACAAAATCGTACACCGAATCTTCCTCTAAGTATTGGACTCATTTTCGTTGGACCCATTTTTATTGAGTTTCGTTCTTTTAAACAAGAATTGTCGAAGATCGGGTTGTTTAGTTGCCTTGGATTTGTTTGAATTTGGTGAATCTTTTGACATTTCCTAATTAAATTGAAAATTATATATCAATTTCCACAATCCACATCATTACATAATAACAAAACCTAAGATTCTAATTTCTAAATTTCTAATTCAACTATACATTTCAATAATTTAAATTCTCAAAAACAGGGGAAAAAAATTAAATACCAATAATTCAGAGATTAAACAATTCAATTTTCAATAAGTTCAATACTTCAAAGTTCAAAACTTCAATACCCACAAATCAACAAATGACAAATCCACAATCATTCTCAATCGAAATTAAACAAGTTGATATATACAACAATTTCATCAATTAAACAAGTAACAAGTTGAAATTCGTCTTCAATACCCACAAATGACAAAATCGTCAAATCCACAATAATTCTCAATCGAAATTAAAAAAGACTAACAAGTAATAAGTTGATATATACAACAATTTCATCAATTAAACAAGTAATAAGTTGAAATTCAGATTTACATACCTCCATTGATTTGGGTGAATTGGGTCTAGCGAAGACCGGAAGACCGAAGACAGCAAGACACCCGCCACCAACACCGACACCGCACACCGGCGACACGAACTGTCGTCTGTCGAACTCCAAGTCGCGAACTGGTGATTTGGGTGAACAGAACCGGCGACGGGAGCAGGGGTGGAGCCAATAAAGGGCGGAAGACCGAAGACAGCAAGACACCCGACACCGCCACTGGACGGGAGAAGACGCGAACGAACCAACGAAGTGCCGCCGACGAGCCTGACTGCCTGAGAACTCTAAGTCTCCAACTTTCGAACTTCGAAGAGAGAGAAATTGAGAATTGTGAAAGTTAGGGTTTAGTTTTGCAATTTCTTTTCTTCTTCTTTTTGTCTCACTTCAGTTTTTTTTTTAATTTTTTTTCTTTAATTTTTTTTTTTTTTAAATTTTTTTTTTTTGAAAATGGGGGGACAAGTGTCCCCACATGTCCCCTTCTAGCTCCGCCCATGGTTGAGGGTTTGGAGGAGGATGAAAAGCAAAATGTTAGTACTGTGCAAAAAGGTGATGAGGAAAGTGAAGAAGAAGAAGATGAAGAGGAAGAAGGTGATGAAGAAGAGACAGATGAGGAGATAAACGAAGATATTAATGCCAGTCAACAGATTCTCCAAGAGGAGAGATTAGATGAGGGCTATAATTTAGAGGATGATGATGCTGAGCACCGGCAACCACTTTAACTTTCTTGGGATTTAAAAGTAATGAAAACAGTGGTAGATAAAGCATGGATCAAAGTTGCGACCAAGAAGAACTACTGCAGTGTGGGTAAACAGTTTTTCAAGCTTCCTGACGGTTATGAATTGACCGTACCGCAAGAGGGTAATACCGTTTTCGACTGTCCAGAGGGGCATATGGCGGTATATGCGAAGCACTTTGAATTTGGGTTGCGTTTTCTTCTGCATCATTTCATAGAAAGGATATTTAAGGCATGGAATGTATGTAACGCTTAGTTAACACCGACAATAATTTGAAACTTTGTGTCGCTGGTATGGGTTTTGTTATTCATGGATTTCCCGCTAACCCTTAATTTGGTCCGTAAGCTACATTGGATAAAAAAGGACAATCAGTCACCAGGCTGGTGGTCTTTGTATACAGGCTCTGGTAAGATTACGGTGTGGCCGAAATTAAGCAGTTGCAAAAATTGGTAAAATCAATTTTATTTTCTAAAAGTGCCAGATGATTTCAGTCTGCGAAGAACTTTCTACCCTCCTCATAGCAGATTTGATTCTATTAGAGATAGGAAGTTAGGCAAGCTTGAATTTAAAGCTTTTCGTTTTTTCGATTGTCTGTATGTAAATAAAGGTAAGAAGATTAAAGTTATTCCAAGGGTGTGGCTGCCCAACTGTAATTATATCCTGGGCAATGTTCCTTTTTCTCATCCCGGTCTCTGCAAAACTGACGAATATGGTATGACCTACCATACATATGAATTTATTATTATACCTGTGATAATGTTTATGACCGCATATCCAAATTTACTATTGCGTCTGGTGATTTGAACTTACCAAATTGCAAATTTGGCTGTTAAAATCCTCCTAACTTTTGTGTTCTGATTTTGGTTAGGTGTCGGCAAGCTTGATTATCCACGTCTGGGCCTGAAACTGACGACTCAGTGAAACATCAGTGTCCACCCAACCCTAAATCGGCGTACGACACACTGCCAGTCATTGCTACCAGAACATTAAAAGGGAGACACAGAAGTAAGCGTGATATGGCATCCATTGAAAATAGAACAAGGCCGAATGTCCTTCCTCTCAGAAGGGGTGGTGGTACCAGCACCGGCTCCAAAAGGTCTAAAAAACCAAAAACCACCCCGGCTCAAGACCAACAAGCTGGCCAGCCAAAAGACGTCCCAACTGAAATGAAGGATGTCATGGATTTTGAGGATGATAACGACAACAGACCAAAGAAAACGGTGGGTATCACTGCCCTAAGGCAGCAAGTCGGCGGCTTAGAAAAGGCGATATCACAGAACAAGGATATGCAACCTTCCTCTACAATTCGTTATGGTTTTAGCAGCCTCAATGCCTTTATACCTGTGTTAACGGATGATTTTATTGAGATTCCCCATGTCGAAATTCCTGAGGAGGTGATGGAGGAATTTCTGGTTCCTGCTGGTACTGTTGGTGAACCATGGTATCCTCGAATTAATGTGAATAGGGAAGAATTTGTCATTGCGGATGACCCATCCACTGGAGGTAGCATGGGATGTAGGGTGCTAAAAGATTTGGCCACTCCTGTCGATAGGCCTGTCAACCGGCTCGCTGCTCCTTGTGGTCAAATGATGAATGACTTGCTTAGGGTAAGTTATCCTCCTTAATGCTTCGTGCATTCAGATTATCAACCTGGTTGTAGAGGTTATCAACATGTACAAATATTATCAGAGGTATACAGACAAAGCCGAGAGTACTATGAAGAAGGCTAAAGATGAGCGCAAAGCGGCCGCCCTTGAGGTTGAGAAGTGTAAAGTCAAGATAAGGCTTCTTAAGAACCAGTTGACTAGCCAAGAGGAGTTAAAAAAGAAGTTGGCGGATCAAGACAAGCTGAAAGCCCAAATAGCTGATTTTCAGAAAAGCTTGAAAATCGAGAGGGCAAAGAAAGAGGAAGCGAAGAAAAAGTTTGAGCAAGCTTTTTTTGAGAAGCCTGCTATCAGGCGTCAAGCTGTCAACTGGTTCTTGAGGTCTGATTTATACCGGGACAAGCTTGTTGAACGCTATACCGGTGGGTGGGTAGCGGCGCATCGTTGCGTGTGTAAAACTCAGGGTTGGGGGGGACTAGATGGCAGTCAATCAAGGATGCTTACGATAATGACAAGCATCACTCTCCCACCAGCTTTGAAGAAACATATTTTGTCGATCCCCCCTGCATTGAAACAACGAAAAATGTTGATCCACGTGATATGCCGGATGAAGAGTTTGATGACGCCATTCTTGCCAGCCCTGTAGGTGAGAAAGGGCCAGAGAAAGGGTCCTAGAACAAAAAAGATTAAAGGGTTGGAAAGTCATCACCAAGATCATCATGTGGATCCTCCTTTTCTTACAACCGCTGCTAAGCTGAACGAATTTTATTTGTGTTTTGGTCGGTTCTAAAACTCTCTATTATTATAAACAAACTATTTGTCTTTTTTAGCCGGTCTGATCCTTGTACTTTTTTGGGTGATTGCTGTCGGTTTACTTTGTTTTAAAGTATGTTTGAACACTTTATAAGTTTTAACTCTTGCTATGTATACATGATGCTTTCAGATCTGTTATTTATCCCTTTTACTCATCAGTAAGTTACTTGCATGGCATACTTTTAGACTCATCAGTATGTGCTTTAAGCCAAGTCTTCAGTGCTAGTGAGCGCTTCGGTCCTCCGAATAGTTTTATTTAAAACTTATTCGAATACCTTTCGCAACAATGGCTATCAGCCGCTATAGACCATCATTTTAACTCGATTGTAGGTGCTTTTACTATATAACCTCCCTCATCACTTGAATGGGTGATACAGCTAGCTAGGTCATTCGCACGTCCATATCGAAAGTGGGGGGGGGGGTTGTCACACATTTGATATCGAGCTTCTAATTTCAATTTTATTAACGGCGTCAACCCAGCACGTAAAATTTACACTATGTGATGACCCTTAGTCATTCCGATAATACATAATTATGAACTAATAAAAAGATAACTATTACACATAATATTTCTTAACGACTCTAGCATTCCAGACGTTTTCGAGTGGTACACCCTCTAAGATCATCAATCGATGTGACCCTTGCTTCGGAGTTTCATTAATCTGATATGGACCTTCCCAATTCGCGGTTAGCTTACCATCCACATTTCCCTTACCGATAGCCGCCGTTCTTCTTAAAACCAAATTGCCGTCTTCAAGAGGATGATGATTAATATGTTTGTTATAAGCCTGACTCATTATATTCTTATAAGCCATAGATTTGATGGCCGCTTTCAACCTTATTTCCAGCAAAAAATCTAATTGTTGTCTTAACAAGAGGTCATTATGTTCTTCACAATAGTGTTAAATGTTAAATGTTGGAAGGCCGCCTTCAATTGGGACAACCGCCTCTGAACCGAAAGCAAGGTTAAATGGTGACTCTCCAGTTGTTTCCCTTATCGTTGTTCGCCCACAATATCATTGGTACTAAATTGGCCCATAACCTTTTTTCATCTTCTACCTTCTTTTTCAACGCACTGAGTATTTTCTTATTAGCGGCTTCAGCCTGACCGTTCGACTGTGGATGGCGAACTGCCACGTAAGAAAACTTTACTTTGTATATACTTAAGAAATTTTTGACAAAGCTGCAATCGAATTGGGAGCCGTGATCAAACACCATTGCCATTGGCAAACCAAACCGGGTAAATATGCTTTTCCAAATGAACCTTTTCACCTCATTTGCCGTTATTTTCGCTACCGGTTCAGCCTCTATCCATTTGATGAAGTAATCTACTCCAACAATTAGGAATTTTCTTCCCCCAGTAGCCGACGTGAAAGGACCGACAATATTCATTCCCCACTGTGCAAAGGGTACTTGATTTAATATGGTCGTCAAGTCATTGGGTGGCTGGTTTATAGCCGGCCCAAACTTCTGGCATTTATCACACTTTTTCGCATATGCTAGCAAATCTGCGTTCATTGTCGGCCAATAATAACCCCTCTTCATAGCTTCTAGGGACATAGACCGACCACCCACGTGATTTCCACATTCACTCTCGTGAATCTCTTCTATCAACCTTGCAGACTCATAAGCCGTTATGCACCTTCGCAGTGGTAATGAGAAACCTCTCTTATATAACCCTCCGTGAAACATGACGAACCAAATGCTATCCTTTTTTACTTTATGAGCTTCAAGCTTTTCGGTAAGGAGCGCATCATACAACTTGTAAGCTAGGATGTTATCATACCATTCTCGGCCTCTATCAATGTAGTTGACCTCCACATGAGTTGCCTCAATACTCTTGCAGTATAGGATCTCTACCATCACTGTTCGCTCTAAATCATTGGAGCTTGAACTCGCCAGTTTTTCCAAGGCATCTGCCTGCGGATTCTGAGCACGTGGAACCAATGTGATTTCAAAGTACTCTAGCGTCGCCGTTATTTCTTTCAGTTTGACCAGAAAAACTATCATTGTTTGCTCCTGGGCCTTATACTCACCGCTAAACTTACTTGCCACCAATTGTGAGTTCGTTGACAATTCAATTCGTTTCGCCTCTGCCGCTATACATAAGTGGACTCCAGCGATTGCCGCTTCATATTCAGCTTCATTATTGGAAGCTTTGAATTTGAACTTTATAGCGTACTCAAACACATCTCCCTGCGAGGAAGTCAATAAAATACCGGCCCCCGAACCTGTTGAAGCTGCTGATCCATCAACTAAGACCTTCCATGTTTCGATATCTTCCTCTTCATCTGTATAAGATGTTTCCACAATGAAGTCAGACAAAGCTTGTGCCTTTATAGACACTCGTGGTTTGTAAACTATATCATATTTCGACAACTCTATGTCCCACTTAAGCAAACGACCAGAAGTTTTCATTTTTCGAAGGGATTTTTCTAACGGTTGATTTGTTAGAATCTCAATTGCATGCGCATTAAAATATTCAAGACATGACTCACGAAGTAAATGGGCATTTGCACTTTCTTTCACTCTACAAGCAAAACTGCCGCTACCGTTTTTGGAGATGCTGAGATATATAACTGCAGCTTCTCTCCCTTCTCTGGCCTAGCTATTGTCGGTAACGATCGGAGGTGACTTTTGACTACCTTTAGTGCTTTTGCCTGCTTTTTCCCCATACGAATGTTTTGTTTTGTCGCAATGCCACGAAAAATGGTAAAGCTTTATTGACAGATTTGCTGATAAACCTTGTCAATGCCGTTATGCAACCCGTAAGCTTTCGTATATCTTTTATCGACTTTGGTTGCGACAAGCTGAGGATAGCATCAATCTTGTCGGGATTTGCATCAATTCCTCTCTCGCTAACCATAAAACCCAGATATTTTCCAGACTTAACCCCAAAAATTTATAGCAGTTGAATAATTTCTTTCTTCCTTAAATTTATAGCTAATGTAATAGTTAATTTGTGTTAAAATCGATGTGATTGAATTAAAAATATTTAGCATTGGTAGTTGATTTGAGCTAATGCCAACCGGAACCCCTATACTTTTCTCAAGGTAAATTCGGAAGAAAGAAATTTTTCCGAATTTAGCTTCATTTGGTACTGTTGGAGAGTATCAAAGTTTCTCTTAAGTCTGCAATGTGATCCGTTTCTAGTCGGCTTTTCACAATTGAGTCATCTACGTATAGTTCCACGTTTCTTCCCTGCTGATTTACAAACACTTTGTCAACCAATTTTTGATACGTTTCACCTTCATTTCGTAGCCCAAACGGCATTGCTTTGTAACATTAAAATCTGGCATCCGTGATGAAGGCAACCTTGGTTCTGTCGGGCTCATATAGACTGACTTGATGGTATTTGGAGAAGGCATCCATGAAACTCAACATAGCATGGCCTAATGTAGAATCTACGAGTCTGTCTATCCGAGGCAATGGATAACAATCCTTGGGACAAGCCTTATTTAAGTCAATGAAATCGACACACATCCTCCACTTCCCTGACGGCTTTTTTACCATCACTACGTTTGCTAACCACTCAGGGTAAGTGCAAGGTTCTATAAATCCTGCTGCTAACAGCTTGTTCACCTCGGCCTGTATAGCCTCGATCTTCTCAGTTGAGAAGTTTCTTTTCTTTTGCCTTATCGGTCGTGCTTTTCTATCCACGTTTAGTTTATGTATCATAACGTCAGGATGTATCCCTGGCATTTCGTCGGCCGAGAAAGCTAATACATCCGCATTCTCCCGCAGGAGATCAACTAAGTGGCACTGTAAATCCACAACCATGTCTGATCCATCCCTTACTAATTGGCCTTGGACTCCAGGTTGTAACTCCACTTCAACGGTTTCCCCTCTCGGCAAGGGACAGGGCACTGACACCGGTCGTGTATCGAAGTTCTCCATAGACAAGTCATGTGTGGATGGGTTTCTTTCTCTTTTCTGACTTGCAACATCTGCTAGCGTTGTCGGCATGGTTGTTTCAGTGCGGTTACATAGCATTCTCTGGCCATTTTATGGCTTCCCCTAACACGCTCAGGGAAACTATTGTTAGACTCATATATCATCGTTAGGTGGTACGTTAACACAACATCTTGCACATCATAAATCATCAGCCTGCCGATGATAGCGTTATATGCTGATGGCACATCCACCACCAGGAATTCTGTCATTACATCTCTTGCACCAGCTCCCTCGCCGATACGTACCTGCAACACAATGCTTCCCTCGGGCCTGACGGTAAATCCATTGAAACCAATGACCGAGTATGGCACTTGTGTTAAGTATTGCCTTCAAATCATCATGGCGTTAAAGGCCTTCGTGAACAATATATTTGCAGAGGTTCCTCCGTCAACCATGATTAGCTTGACCAGGTTGTCGTTTATAGCCAATATAAGTACTAACGGGTCATCGTGGGGAAAAACGATACCCCTAATATCAGCTTCTAAGAAGGATATTGAGGGAATGCTGGGGGGATGAGAGCAATCTTCTACACCCAAAGCATTCATCACGTGCCTATGCTCCGACAAGCTTTTCTTAGCGCCACTAACGGATCCCCCGTGCACCGGACCACCGTTAATAACATCCACCACTATATTACGCCCTGACGGTGCTTGCCCCTACCTTGGCATGTCGTTTTTCCGACCTGTGATCACAATTAGGAATGATCAACACACTCAACTCACTCCCGCGCAATTAAGCATGCTAATTATCCTACTAAGCTAATTCACTCCCGTACAACTTTCCTAGAATAGGCATGGAAGAATCTAGACTCTCAATCAACTCACTTTCACACATTTGATTGAAAGCACAACTAAAAACCTAGAATCAATTAGCTAAAAAGATTCTAATCAATGTAAGCATCATCCATACACAATAATCAAGAATCAATTGCATACTAAACACAATCAATCACTCAATTCATCAACATAACTTCCATCCATTTCCAATAACCCTAGCACTCATCACTTGGGCAAGTCTCACTTCTCTCAACTTTTGTTCCTCTTAAAGCTCTTGGACTTGTTGGGTGAGATATTGTATTTGGGAAAGAATTTAGGCATTAATGTTATTGGGTTGAGGTTCACCATTCACATGCATATCATCAACATTAGAACACACCTCATCATAATAAGCATAAGAGGGGATGGGGTTAACATGTATATTTGGATCATCACAAGGCATATTATTAGCATCAAGAGAACATGCAAAAATTAAAAGAATCTTGACATTGAGAATCGAAACAGGAAACATGACATTCTCTATCATAAGAATCTCTAGCAAGCCATGTGAAGAAATTCCAAGCATCATGCATAGGCAAAAGATGGAATCTACCATTTTACATATTCTCAACCATTCCCCTAGTATACTCATTCATGCCCCAATAAGCTATACCACAACCATCCATAAGAGAACAACCATGGAAACTAAGGAAACCATCAAGTCTTTCAAAGTAAGCATAGAAGGGTTCATCATCAAATTGAGGAAAAAATAAGCATGCCATTTTTTTTACACAAAGCAAAGAAAGGAAAACAAAAATCAAAACTATACACAAGAACCTAGCTAATCTAATCAACTCAAACTATGAATGCCTTAGTCCTCGGCAACGGCGCCAAAATTTGATCGCCGGATAAGAGGTCGTGTCTACTATCCTAAACCAAATATACAATTTATATTCCTAATCTTACTCTATAAAGTTCACACTAAATAGTGGCAAGCTAGGGTTGAACCACAAGGACTAAGTGTATTAATTTGAGCTAATTAAACTAGTAGGAAGGTTGTGAGATAGAGAGAAAAACAATTAAAACACTACTTAAAGCAATTAACAAGATACTAGGGAAAGGGGAATCCAATTACATTAATGAATTCAATAACAAATTGCAATTAGATGATCATGATCTAAATTAGGAACGATCAACACACTCAACTCACTCCCGCGCAATTAAGCATGCTAATTATCCTACTAAGCTAATTCACTCCCGTGCAACTAGCTTAGCATAGACATGGAAGAATCTAGACTCTCAATCAACTCACTTCCGCACAATTGATTGAAAGCACAATTAAAAACCTATAATCAATTAGCAAAAAAGATTCTAATCAATGTAAGCATCACCCATACACTCACTCCTAATCTAAGCCTAATCCTCATTAGAGGAGAGAGAAAATGTAAAAACTTCCTTTAGAAAGTCTAAGAAATCGTTCAATTTATATTACAAGAAGAGAAAGAGGGAAATCCGAAAATTAAGATCGAAAACACCCAAAAGCCGCGCCCGAGGTGGCCGGATACGAGCACGCGGTGGCAAGGGGCCGCGCCCGCAGGGAGATTCTCCGAGGCATCTCTAGGTGTTGGCCAAAACTATAAACCCGCAAGGCCGCGCCTGCGGTGGCAGAGCCAGGCTGTCGCGCCACGGTGCAGCCCACCGCGCCACGGCGCATCCTGCCGGGCCACGGTGCATGCTGCAGGGCTGCGTGCTCTTGCTTGCTTCTTAGCGTCTTTATGGCTTCAAGGCTTCTTCTATTGAATTCTTTCGCCTTCTCTTTGGTCTTCAACATCGAGCAAAGTTCCAAGTACCTAGAAAAAAAGACCAAGAGAGTAAAGAGTGAAAGATCACATAGAAAAACACGCAAATCAAGCTAGAAGCTGAGCAAAAAGCATATTATTCGCAATTAAGGCCTAAAACCATAAACTAAGGCAAAATTTACTAGAAACAAGACTAAAAGGAATAGAAATAACAAAGAAACACCGAAATAAGACTAAAACTAAGGGAGAAAAACGCCCTAAAATGTGTCATAAATGTCACTTATCAACCTGCCTCAAGTGCACGTCTGTGGTCTGACTGCTGGTATTTAATATGTCTTGCGGGAGTTTGTTGTTGCCGATTTGTATCTTGTTGGGCCCGATATTGAGAGAGATTCTCTTTCCGAACAAATCCTCAATGTTTTCTTTTAGTTGAATGCAATCTTCGGTATAATGGCCGACATCTTTGTGTTACATGCAATACTTCTTTATAACTCGACCCTTGGATTTCATGGGTACCAGCTTGGCCCAATATTCCCTTTGCTGATTTACGGAATAGATTGTTGCCATTAGCGTGTTCAGCAGCGTATAATTGTTATACCGGCCAAGACCTTTTGCTAGCCTATCCGCCCTTTGTTGATTTTGTTCCGCTGGTCTACTCATTTCATGCATTGCGTTGTCAATCGGCCAACGACTTAACTCTGCTGGCGCCACTCTGTTGTTGGCCTTCAAGAGCTCTTCACTCTTAATGTATTCATGTGCCTTGTTGAATGCTGGGCCCAAATTTGAGAAGGTTTTCCAGGCCATATATTTTTTGAAGTCACAATCACTTAGCCCACTCATGAAGGCCATCATAACTATTTCCTGTTGCAGCTTGGGAATCGTATTGGCTTCGTTGTTGAATCGTCTAATGAAGTCCCTTAGAGATTCATCCTTCTTTTGACCGACCGCCATCAGTTCCCCTGACGATCTTTGCCTCGCGCTATTGCTTATGTACTGGCCTGTGAACATCTCCACCAGAGTTTTGAAGTAGTCAACTTGACCAGGTTCCAGGTTCGAGAACCAATCCGAAGCTGCTCCTGTCAGCGTTATCGGGAAGACTTTACACCACACGACATCCGTGTCGGTATATAACAACATATGACTTTCAAATGCCGCCACATATCTTTTGGGGTCACCTTTGCCGTCATATTTGCATGATGGAATTTTAATTTTTTCCATTCCCTGATCCAGGATTTCCTAAGTGAACGGAGAAACTCTCGGTTTGACCACGGCTCTAGCCACACGCCTAGATGGTCCACTGCTGGCTTCTTGCCTTCGAGGCCTTGAATCTTCAATCAGCGCACTATGAGGAGCTTGAAACTCCCTTTCCAACGGTCCTGACCTTAATGAGGGTGACCCATCTCGTGGTTGTCGGTGAGGTGGGGGTGCAGCCTAATTGAATTGACTTTCTAAATTAACAAACGCCGATAGATTGTGCCCTGTTTCCTCCTGCCCTGCTAGCAGTTGTCTCGTCGGCTTCCTTTCTTTCCCTAGACGTAGCACACATGACCCTGGCCATTAATTCCAACTCTTCGGGAGTGAACTCATCCTTAGGATCTGGCATTGCGGCACGAGGCCGCTCAGGTGTTATCGGCATATTTGTCGTATCATGAGAAATGAGGTGAGTTTTATCTTCCACCACAATCTTAGGCACATTGTTAACGGTCTTACTTGCACCGTTGAGGATACCGGTGTCATAGTTACGGTTATTGGTTTATGGGATGGGTACTATAATTTCATTGTTCCCCTCCATGACTACTTAAGGTTATTTGGATCATAGAAGTTATTACTTTCCCCTCCTTCTAGAGCCAATTATTCCGGGTGAGCTCCGGTAACTTGAATCTTAGGATCCGTAAAGGTTTATCGACCAATTAAGCACCTCCACAGTCAATGTTTAGGGTAAAAATACCCTATGCCACATGGCCCAATAGCATAGTGACACGTGGCAGCCCACCAGAGGCCCAACAGGATCAAATCAGATGCTCACACGTGGCATTGTACCCCCAATAGGGGAGCAGATCCTCATCTGCTATAAATAGAGGAAATTCCTCATTTATTACTCATTCATAAATAAAAACACAAAACCCGAGCTATATTAGTTGTGGAATTTCTCTGAATCAGTGAGAAAAACCCATTTACATTCCGCCCTTTTACCCATCCGGAATCATACTAACTTGATCGTCGGAGGCGGAACTCCACCCAACCGGAGTTTCGTGGTTTTGCAGGTACAGACGTCAGGCGCGCATACTCCGTATTGAAACTTTCCCAAGGGACTCTAAAAACCCCCAAAACATTTGGCGCCGTTTTTGGGGAGAGTACTACTGAGATGGCATTGGACTCTGTACCGTGTGCAAAGGGCAGCCGGCCTACGGTTGACCTTGAGGTCCATACGGACCGTGACAGTGGTGACGACTATGAAGTCGACACTTACATGGCCCTAGACGGGTCATTTCGTTCCAGGCGCACTCGTTCCAAAGAAAAGAAAGAACGGGGCCAAGACAAAGTTGGACCAAGCAACCCAGGCGGCAAGCACCCTGGGCAACCCCAGGCGGCGGAGGGCACAGCCCCCGTCACTTGAGACGAACTCATGAATCTTATGACTAGTTTCAAGGGGGAAATTAAAGACATAATCAAGAAGTCAACTGGCTCAAACAAGGGTTAGTCGGCAAAGAATCCTTCTCCCTCCGGGAAGAAGCAGGTTTAAGACCGGGTGCCTACTCCGCACCCCAAACCCAAGGGAACGGATGGGCCCCTAATCGACCTCTCTAAACTTCGTTTCCCTTAATCAGAGCAAAGGAAGGCCATCCAGCAGGTACAACAGGATGGGTCCTAAAAGACTTACTCTGACACCCAAATCTTCATCCAGGCGAAGAGAAGTCAGCACATGTGTGAGTCGGCTTCAACGTCGACCTACCCAGATAGTTTCCGAAATACTTCAATGAAGAATTCGGAGACGCATCAAGGGACTCAGTCACGCGGCATGTCCGTACGTACTAGACCTCATGTTATCTAGCAGGCCCCGTATGTGCCCCAACAGCAATACGCGCCGTATGGATCCCCATTCATGCAGTCAGCCCCTTTTGGGGACCATGCGGCATATCAGGTCCAGCCTATGGACTGGCAACTCCGGCTGCTAAACCTTGGGGAACAGCTTCGGATTTCTCCCGGGAAATAACTGAGGCGACACAGCCGGCCAAGGTTAAAAATGTGTTTGTCGGTACCTACGACGGTACCACCAACCCGAAAGACCACCTAATGGCATACACCAACCTCATGTACCTACAGGGGTTGGATGATGCCGCCTGGTGCAGATTCTTCCCGGCTACATTGAAGGGCATAACCCAACGATGGTTTGGCAACCTGCCGGCTGGGTGCATCAATAACTTCAAGACGCTTGCATACTTGTTCGCGTCTAACTTCTCCATGAACATCCCTGCCAAAAAGACAAGTATCGACCTAGGGGCTATTCAGCAGGGTGAAAAGGAGGGACTTTTGTCTTATGTTAGGCGGTTCAATCTGATGAGAATTCAGATTCAGGGGCTGTCTGACGAAGTTGCATAAACAGACTTCTTCAAGGGTCTGAAGGATGGGTCAACCTTCAAGTTTGACCTGGTCCGCAAGAGGGTTGGTACCCTCCAAGAGGCACTGATGGAGGCTGAAGCCTATATACAGGCGATGGAACTCTGTGCCGTCAAGCACTCGTCGGAACCCAAGAGGTCCAACAAAAGAGACAGCTGGAGAAAAAAGAAGAAAAGAAAAGAAAAGAAGTCTGGGCAGCAGACCGCACTGGCCAGCCGTCCTAGAAGAAACAGAGAAAGTTGGAACCGTACGTCCCCAAGTACGAGTTCAATAAGGACTGCTCCTCCATCCTCATGGAGATAAAAGACCGGTTGACCCTTGGAAAACCGGCTGCAATGAAAAGCTCTGTCAAGAACACGGACAAAAGCAAGTACTATCAGTTCCATGAGGATGTCGGCCACGACACCAATGGTTGTTATAGTCTCAGACGGATATTGGACCGTCTGGCTGAGGAGGGGGCATTGAAATCCTACCTGGTAAAGTCCAAGGGCAACTCGAAATCAAATGGCGGACAACCGTCAAAGAAGCCGGCTGTGAGCTCTGAAACTGATGAAGAGCACATCTTCACCATAGCAGGTGGCTTCTCAAGTGGGGTTCCTACCATACGGGGTACCAAGGATAACATCCGGAAGCTATCTAACCCAGAGGATGAGGGCAAGGCGTCAAAAGACACCTTTCCTGAGGTCTTCATCTCTGAGAAGGATCGGGGTATGGTCAGGCAGCCCCACGATGATCCCATTGTCATCGAATGCAAGGTTGCCAACCAACGAGTTGGCCGGATCTTAATTGATATCGGGAGCTCGTCTGACCTGATCAGCTACCAGTGCTTGACAAAGCTCAAGTACAAGCCTAGCAATATGCACAAGGCTCCCCACCCCCTAGTCGGCTTTGGGGGAGGAGTAGTGCATCCGGTGGGGAGGATTGACCTACCCATCCGGCTAGGAGAGAAGAGGGAAGGCCGGCACATGGTCGTCAAATTTTTGGTGGTCGAGGAATTGACCGCCTAAAATCTCATATTGGGCCGTCCTACCCTCAACGAGTCCAAGTCAGTCATCATCCCATCCCTCATGATGATTAAGTTTGAGAGGGATGACGGGTCAGTCGGTGCCTTGCGCGGGGATCAGAAGACGGCTAGGGAGTGCTACCTCTCAGACGTCAAGCCGACTGCTATAGCAGCCGGCAATACCAAGGAGCCCGTCGACCTCGATGATAAGGAAGCCGCGCCTACTCCCAAGGCAGCCGGCAAAAGGCGAAAGGCGGACCAATTGGCCCCTGCCAGAAAAAAGAAAAATAACAATCACTGACTGGCAAAAGGCCGGATGACTCCCGATCCCAGCCGGCTGGTGAGAGCATTGATGTCATCCTGGACGACAGCCGCCTTGAGAAAACCGTCAAAGTAAGGACGGTTGCTTTTGAAATGTTGGGAGCAGACTTGCTCCAACTTCTGAGAGAGTTCAAAGGTATATTCGCCTTTGAAGTGGAGGAGATGTCAGGTGTCAGCCCGGATTTAGCCGTTCATAAACTCGCTGTTGATCCCAAAAAGAAGCCGATCTTTGGTGTTGAGTATGGGAAGTTTCTCAGATTTCTGATTGATCAAAGAGGCATAGAGGCCAATCCAGAAAAGGTGCAGGCGGTGATTGACATGAAGTCACCCCGCACCGTCAAGGAGGCCCAGAAGCTAACCGGTTGCCTAGCGGGCTTAGGAAGATTCCTTAGCCGGTCAAGTGACAAGTGCCTTTACTTCTTCTAAGAAATCAGGAAGAGGTCTAGATTTGAATGGGGAGAGGAAGTTGAGGCGGCATTTCGGAGGTTAAAGCAACACTTGCATTATTTACCAAGGTTAGTGAGTCCCCTGCCTAAGGAGGTTCTCTACATGTACCTAGCTGTCTTAGATCACTCCCTTAGTGTTGTTATCCTTGCTGAGAGAGACGACAAACAGCTCCTGGTGTATTTCATCAGCCATATACTCAGAAATGTTGAGCTACGGTACCCAATGATTGAAAATTTTGGGTTGGCTCTTTACAAAGCAGTCAAGCGGTTGAAGCCTTACTTCTTGGCTCATCCGGTGATTGTCTATACTGATCAGCTACTCAAGTGTCCAATGACTACTATAGAGTCATCCGGCAGAATGATCAAGTGGGTTGTTGAAATGCAAAGCCTGGAGATAACTTGCAAACCTAGGCGGGCAGTGAAAGGTCAGGCGTTTGCCGACTTCATTGTTGAAATGACTAGGCCGGCACAGCTGGAGAATATCGATTAGGTTTGGAAGTTATTTGTAGACGGAAGTTCTACCTTGAACGGCTGTGGTGCAGGCGTAATTTTCAAGTCTCCGGAAGGAGACACATACGAGTATGCACTACGGTTCATGTTTCAAGCTTCAAATAATGAAGCTGAATATGAGGCCCTGTTAGCCGGTATACGCATGTGTAAGGCGACAGGGGCAAGAAAGGTTGACGCCTGTTCTGATTCTCAATTGATCGTTAGCCAATTCAATGGTGACTACGAGGCCACCCATCCAGCAATGATCAAATACCTTCAGGCAGTCAAAGATGAGGCAGGGACACTAGACAAATTTCATCTAAGTCAGGTGCCCTAGTTAG